GCCGTCCATCTGCTTACTTTCAGCGAAATCAATCTCAACAGATATGATGCCGCCTGTTCTGTTGCACTGTTTACTTGATCCCCGAGAGACTTCACCATGTCCAATTTTTTAATTTTATAAAATAGCTTTCCACCTATAGAGTCAGCTGCAGCTAATCTATCAGGCTGCTTATTTCCAGCGGAATATTCTGGAGTAAATATACATGATATGCTTCTTATCTGAATCTTATCACGTTGAATGTTGAACTAAGAATCGACATCACAGCACTCAGGACACTCCCAAAAGCTATCCATCCTCATCTTCAGCAGCAAACGAAGAGTTCCAATTCTGATGGCACCAGTAACTGTCTGATTGTACATCCGTCTCACTTTTCTCTTGAGTGTTGAGCATCGGCCAGATCCCCTAGTAACTCTCCACAGCGCCATTTTCCTCAAGTTATTATCAGCCTTATCAAGAGCTACAAGCAAATTTGAACAAGATATACATTAGAGTGGATTTACAACAAGTTCACGGTAAAATTTTTTTTTTTAACCCTGTCATTCATCTTGAAACATTCTGATGTCAGACATACTGTAAAATTATGTTTTTTCCTAGACAATCAGTCATCATTGTAAGACCTTTCTTCTTGATATGATCTCATGTGCATCTTCAGATTGCTGTCATAAATACAACCGCACACAATTTCATACAGCTGTTAATTAATTAGTTAAAACATTTACAGCTTCAAGTATATTTGGTCACCCAACATTTGCTTGATTTCTGTTCCATCTAAAGTCACATTGTCCTTTGTGGGAAAATTTTTAAACATGCTGCTGTCTCAGTAAAGCCAGTAGCACACACATGCAGTAATTCATAAGGCAACTGTCAGAAGTGCCAACACGACAGTCAACATTAGAGTGGATTTACAACAAGTTGATGAATGCATTTTTTTTTTAAATCAGCAGCTGCATTTACACTGTAAGAATTACACTCTGTATGCGTTTGTTTGTGTATCTTCTGATTTTTCCTAGGTCGTAAAGGCGACCCTACAATCCCTACACTTGTAAGATTTCACTCCAGTATGTGATTTCATGTGCAACTTCACACTGGCAACTCTACTAAAGGATGCACCACAATCGTCACATTTAAAAGGTTTCTCCCTTTAAATGTAATCTCTTGTGTATCTTTTATGTGCTAGATCTTGTAAAACATGCACCACAGACACTACATTTGTAAGGTGTCTCTCTTGTATGGGCTCTCCTGTGGTTCTTATGATAAACGATGTGCCACAATCTCACATTAAATTTGTCAGGCTTCTCTTCTGTATGATTTCTCATGTGCCTTTTCACACTGTGGTATGAAGAAAAAGAGGCTTTACAAATAGGACATTCGTAAAGTGAATGTGGCCATTCAGAGTGTTAGCTCCAGGAAAAGATACATTGCAAACGTCACACTAGTAAGGTTTCTCTCGTGTGTGTGTTCTTTTGTGTGTTTTCATATCACCAGCTGAGGCAAAAGACATACCACAATTATCACATTTGTAAGGTTTCTCTCCTGTGTGTATTCTTTTGTGTGTTTTCACTTCACAGCTGAGGCAAAAGACATACCACAATTATCACATTTGTAAGGTTTCTCTCCTGTGTGTGTTCTTTTGTGTGTTTTCATATCACCAGCTGAGGCAAAAGACATACCACAATTATCACATTTGTAAGGTTTCTCTCCTGTGTGTGTTCTTTTGTGTGTTTTCATATCACCAGCTGAGGCAAAAGACATACCACAATTATCACATTTGTAAGGTTTCTCTCCTGTGTGTATTTTTTTTGTGTGTTTTCATATCACCAGCTGAGGCAAAAGACATTTACACAATATCACATTTGTAAGGTTTCTCTCCTGTGTGTGTTCTTTTGTGTGTTTTCATATCACCAGCTGAGGCAAAAGACATACCACAATTATCACATTTGTAAGGTTTCTCTCCTGTGTGTGTTCTTTTGTGTGTTTTCATATCACCAGCTGAGGCAAAAGACATACCACAATTATCACATTTGTAAGGTTTCTCTCCTGTATGTGTCCTCTTGTGCCTCATTAGATGATGTGTTCTAGAAAAAGATGCGCCACAGTCATCACATTTAAAAGGTTTCTCTCCTGTGTGTTTTCTTTCATGCATCTTCAGGCTGTAAGATATACTAAAAGACATACCGCAATCATCACATTTGTAAGGTTTCTCTCCAGTATGGGTTCTCTTGTGTATCATCAGACTACCAGCCATACTAAAAGACACACCACAATCATCGCATATGTGAAATTTCTCTCCCACATGTGCTCTCAAATGGCACTTCAACTTGGTAGCTGAAGTAAAACATGCACTGCAATCATCACATTTGTAAGGTCTCTTCCCTGTATGTGTTTCTTTGTGCTTTTTCAATTCTGTTATTTTAGCAAAAAAAGCCCCGCAAAGATCACACTTGTAAGGTTTCTCTCCTGTATGTGTTCTCTTGTGTCTTGTAAGATAGCTAGCAGTACTAACTGATGTACCACAAACATCACAATTGTATGGCTTCTCTCCTGTATGTTTTCTCATATGACTCTTCAAACTACAGTCCCCTGAAAAAGCTGCATCACAAATACAACATTTATAAGGTTTCTCTCCTGTATGTGTTCGTTTGTGGTAGGTCAGAGCTCCAAGTCCAGCAAAAGATACGCTACAAATATCACACTTGTAAGGTTTCTCTCCCGTATGTATTCTCTTGTGTTTTATCAGACTGCTAGAAACAGTAAAAGCAGCACCACAATCATCACATTTGTAAGGTTTCTCCCCTGTATGTGTCCTCTTGTGTATCTTTAGATGTTCATTCCTAGGAAAGGATGCGCCACAGTCATCACATTTATATGGTTTCTCCCCAGTATGTTTTCTTTTGTGTATCTTCAGACTACAAGAAATGTTAAAAGACATACCACAATCATTACATTTGTAAGGTTTCTCTCCAGTATGTGTTCTTTTGTGTATCTTCAGATAACTAGCTGTGTTGTAAGATGCACCACAATAGTCACATTTGTGAGGTTTCTCTCCCTGATGTGCTCTCACATGAATCTTTGCATGTACAGATGTTTTAAAAGATGCACCACAGTCGTCACATTTGAAAGGTTTCTCTCCTGTATGTCTTCTCTTGTGTTTCTTTAATTGTTTTCTCTGAGCAAAAGCTGCACTACAATCATCACATTTGTAAGGCTTCAGTCCTAAATGCCTTTTCTTATGTTTTCTCAAAGATGCAGCTGTATAAAAACATGCATCACAATCTTCACACTTGTAAGGTCTCACTCCTGTGTGTATTTTCAAGTGATCCTTCAGAGAGGACCCTCTAAAAAATGATGCATCACAAATATCACACTTGTAAGGTTTCTCTCCTGCATGTATTCGCTTGTGCACCTTGAGGAGAAAATTATTAATATAAGATGCCCCACAAATATCACACTTGCGAACTTTTTCTCCTTTATGTGTTCTCCTGTGCATCTGGAGTTGGTCGTTTCGAGTAAAAGATGCACCACAAACATCACATTGGTAAGGCTTCTCTCCTTTATGAATTCTACTATGTTTTTTTAGATTCATGGCTTTAGTAAAAGAGGCACTACAATCATCACACTTGTAAGGTTTCTCTCTTGTATGTATTTTTCTATGTATATTCAAATACATAGCTCTAGTAAAAGAAACACCACAATCAGTACACTTGTAAGGTTTGTATTGTGTATGTGCTTTCATGTGGAACATCAATCTGCTCCCTGAGGAAAAAGATAAACCACAATCATCACACACATACACCTTCACTTCTGTATGTGTTTTCTGGTGTCCGATCAATGAACAACCTACACCGGCAACTGGATGATCACTACAAGTGTTTTGCTTGTCTTCCATTTGATTTCTTTGAGGATCACATAAGGTCTCCCTTACATTATCATCAGCAAAAGATCTTCTAGATATCTGTGACAACCTTTCTTGTGTTTCCTTGTTATTCTGTAACTTCCCATTTTTAAATGTCAAAGACAGTTTAGTACTGGTAACAGTGATAGATGATTCATTCTTCAACACTGTGTGAAAACTCTCATCTTTTATCACTGAGTTATATTTCTCAGTTTTTACTGATTCTATGTTCTTGTGTCCTGCCATGTCCTGATCACTGCTACATCCTGAGAAACACCCAACTGTACCATGTCTGTGACTCTTGTCCCCAAACAGCACATCTGAAAGTTCTTGTTTCACAAACATTGAATCACTGTTGTCACCTGCCACTGACTTCATTTGTGAATGCTTGTGTATAGGAACTGTGGGAGAATCCAAAGAACTTGGTTGTCTTTCTGAAATACACAAACAGTAAAACACAGATTAGCCAGTATCAGTTTTAACACATTTTTTTTAACATTTCAATTTACAAGAGGAAATACAAAAAATACAAAGACAGCAAATCAAATGATTTGCCCACTTGGAGAGAATGCCTTCTGATGCTATACCATACAAAGCACATACCAAAAGAGGAAAGGGACGTAGAGCAAGAACAAGATGGGAAGATAACATCAGAGAAACTCTACAGCACCACGTTGTGTCTATGGTCAAAGCAAGCAGGACCTTATATCTCCCTCAACACCAGAAGCGGTAATAGAGGATGTAGAGAAGAAGAAGAATATAAAACTAGAACTGTATATTTGTTTCTCCTTTTCTGATTTTTCCTTCTGACTGTCCAAGGAATGTTTCATATTTCTTCTGTATAACTGTATCTATGAGGTTTTGTATAATTGTATCTATGAGGTTTTGTATAACTGTATCTATGAGGTTTTGTATAACTGTATATATGAGGTTTGTATAACTGTATCTATGAGGTTTTGTATAACTGTATCTATGAGGTTTTGTATAACTGTATCTATGAGGTTTTGTATAACTGTATCTATGAGGTTTTGTATAACTGTATCTAGGTTCTGTATGGTTTTGTATGACTGTATCTATGAGGTTCTGTATAACTGTATCTATCTATGAGGTTCTGTATAACTGTATCTATGAGGTTTTGTATAACTGTATCTATGAGGTTCTGTATAACTGTATCTATGAGGTTCTGTATAACTGTATCTATGAGGTTTGTATAACTGTATCTATGAGGTTTTGTATAACTGTATCTATGAGGTTTTGTATAACTGTATCTATGAGGTTTTGTATAACTGTATCTATGAGGTTTTGTATAACTGTATCTATGAGGTTTTGTATAACTGTATCTATGAGGTTTTGTATACTGTACTATGAGGTTATCTGTATCTATGAGGTTTTGTATAACTGTATCTATGAGGTTTTGTATAACTGTATCTATGAGGTTCTGTATGACTGTATCTATGAGGTTCTGTATAACTGTATCTATGAGGTTCTGTATAACTGTATCTATGAGGTTTTGTATAATTGTATCTATGAGGTTTTGTATAACTGTATCTATGAGGTTCTGTATGACTGTATCTATGAGGTTCTATATGACTGTATCTATGAGGTTCTATATGACTGTATCTATGAGGTTCTATATGACTGTATCTATGAGGTTCTGTATAACTGTATCTATGAGGTTTTGTATAACTGTATCTATGAGGTTTTGTATAACTGTATCTATGAGGTTCTGTATAACTGTATCTATGAGGTTTTGTATAACTGTATCTATGAGGTTCTGTATAACTGTATCTATGAGGTTTTGTATAACTGTATCTATGAGGTTCTGTCTATGAGGTTTTGTATAACTGTATCTATGAGGCTTTGTATAACTGTATCTATGAGGTTTCAGCTGACAATCAGAGAATGTCCTATGTCGCCTTAGGTGACTTATTAGAGTTACACTTTTGCTGGCTCATTTGACTCCTTGTTCTTCTGAGTGTTCACCAGCTGTAAATTCCAGCAGAGTTTTGGTTGTTTGTCCACTATATATACACACACACACACACTCTCTCTTGCAAAAGAAAGTTAACATTTTTAAAAGCATATATTTTGACTCGCTCAACTGTTGTGTAATTTTCATGTCTCATGTCCCTAAAGTTGGTTAAGCCATGGACAATACTCACTTTCCAGTGGCTACAAAAACATGTTCAAGCTGATTATTTTGGGGTGAAGTTCATTTTTTTTTCCCCTTAAATTGAGGGTCTTTAAACAGATTTTCTCCACCTTTTTTTTCTTTTTAGAAAATTAGACCCTCAACCCAAATTTGCATTGTTAAATCTCAATTAATTGTGCTTTATCATTGTGCCTTGCCGCACAGAATCAGACAGAAATCAGATCACTGGCTACCTTACTACTGGTGCAAACATTTAAAATGTTGCATTGAACATTCTCGCCTCTCAGTAAATGATCTATTGATTGCAATGTTTCAGGTTAGCTAACATAATGAGAGACCTCCCAAGAGCAGGAAGACCAAAGGTAACCATGCAAAGGCAGGACCAATTTATTCAGAGTTCATTTGTAGAACCATTTCCAGTTTATATGTTAATTTGGCACATACTGCATTGTATGCATTTAAGAGATGCATAAACAGTTAGGCCTCACTGCCCTTTGCAATATGTAGTTGCTAATGAATTTATTAAAAAAAACAAAATAGTTGCCATAAAATACAAACATTTAGTCATTTAAATTCCACATTTTACTTAGAAGCAACTCTGAATCCATCTTTTGTCAGGTTACACTATACTTTGTCTATGGTGGTATCCGCCACCAAAATAATATATCCGCTTAGAACTGACTTACAAGCTTCACTGAGGTCTCATTGGATTGGATATTTTAATATCTATCCAGCTGTGATGGTTTCCTAACCATAAAAAAAGCCATCCTAATGGATTCCAGACTGGAAGTCGATAAGACACCCCTTTGTTTCATCTGTACAGTTAAGACACGACCAGCTCTAGCTGACGGGCCATGCTGCTGACGTCACTGGGTCGGGCTAATAATGCGTTAACGCAGCAGTTCTCAAACTGGGGGCCGAGGCACCCTGGGGTGCAGTGAGCGTATGCCAGGGGTGCCGCGGCAATAATCAAGAAAAGTCGGCTAAAAATTGTGAAATTATTAAAGAAGGCCTGTAGATACTTAAAAGTTAAAATTTAAGTTGTCTTGCCCCGCCACTGTCGATAAAAGTTTATTTCTTGTTTTAGAACCACTGCGTTAATGCGTTGTTAGCCCGACCCGATGACGTCAGCAGCACGGCCCGTCAGCTGGAGCCGGTCGTGGTTAAGACATTGTGACCCTCAATACAGGGGGAATTTGACCCTCATTAAGACACTAGGCAAAACTATTTTGATGTACTCTTCATATGAAAAAATCATTTCAAAATATGTATTCTCTTGAGTTTTTTCAGAGATGCGGATCATTTTTTTTTTGGTTGCAGCACGCATGGTATTTCACAGTAAGTAAGTTCATATATAGCTTTAGTAAAAGATGTGCCACAATCAGTACACTTGTAAGGCTTGTCTTGTGTATGTGCTTTCATGTGCAATATCAATTTGCCTACTGAAGCAAAAGATGCACCACAATGAACCCACTCATAGACCTTCACTCCTCTATATGTTTTCTGGTGCTAGTTAATGAACTGCCTACACTAACAGCTGAGTGACCATCAACAAAAGTATTCTGCTTATCATCTGCTTGTATTTGGGGCCCACATCTAGCATAATCATCATCATCGTCATCAAATATTTTAGCTATTTCTAACAAATTTACTTTTGTTTCCATACTATTTTGCAATTTCCATTGTTTAACTGTCAGTGATAATTTGGTATTTACATCAGTTTGCTCTCTGCAACTGTATGAAAACTCTCAACTTTTATCAAGGAGTTATAATTATTCTCAGTCATTCTTGATTCCAAGTTTTTGTGTCCTGTCATGTCCTGACCACTGCTACCTCCTGAGATGTACTCACTTGTACAAAATCTCTCATTATTGTCCTCAAACAGTAAAACTGATAGTTCTTGTTTCACAGACATAAAGTCACTGCTGTCACATGCCACCTTCTCCATGTGTGAGTGTTTGTGTATAGGGATGGAGGAACAATCAATTGAAGCAAAGCATCTTTCTGAAATACATGCAAAGTAAACACGGATTAGCCAGTTCTTATGTTAGCCAATTAGTAGCTGCAAACAGATGTTTGCAAAATGACAAACGCTGAGTTGTCTTTCAGCATCAGAAGTGTAGGCAGGAAGTGCTCAAAGAGAGATGGGATATAACCACTATAAACCAAAAGTCCCCTATGTGGGTCCTGTGGCCCCATTGTGGGAAAAATAGGAACAGACCCACTGCTTCCCTAATAAGCATGTCGTAGGAGTAGACTAACTGGGGAAATTCTTTTGATGTTGGAGTTCATCTGCACAAGAGGCAAGGAACCAACAGTCTGCATACAGTTAGGGCAGATCTGCAAAATGGTTGCACATAAATCTCAGGTCCTTGAACATAGACAAAGTAAATTTATAATAACAAATGTTAAATTGGAACGGACATTTTATTTAATCATTTCCCATATTCTTTTTGAGTGTCAAACAGAATTTATCTTTCTCATGTGAAACAATATTTCCTAGGCTTCAGTAGATAAGCAGAGGTAGTTTATTGCATTGTTGTTGCTCAAAATGACTTCTTCTTCTTCTTCTTCACTTCCTCTTTTCCCGCTGTGGGTGTCGAGGGAGATATAAAGTTCTGTTTCTAGCTCTTCTGGCTGCCTCGACTATAGGCACATCGTGCTGTTGTAGAGTTTCTCTGATGTTATCCTTCCATCTTGTTCTTGGTCTACCCCGTGCTCTACGTCCTTCTTCTCTTTCCATGTATGCTTTGTATGGTATGGTGTCACAAGGCATTCTCTCCAAGTGGGCAAACCATTTCACTTGCTGTCTTTGTATGTAATCCAGAATTGGTTCTGTGCCGACTTGTTCTCTTATGATCTCATTCCTGATCTTATCTCTTATGGTCACTCCTACAGCCCTTCTCAGACATCTCATTTCCGTGGTTACTAATTTTCTTTTATGGTTTGTTGTGAGTGACCATGTCTGGCACTGATAGCACAGAGTTGGAATAAATATGCTTTGAATAAGATGCCTCTTTGTGCTGATTGGGATTGTCTTAAGAAATGACTAGTTGGGGCTATTGTGTTTCCTGCTCTATGTGACTAATCAGAGGTTTTGTGTTCAATTATAGAAATGTATTGTCAGTGCGACCTGTCTTCGGTTCATGCCAAAGGTTAGACGGTGTTTACCAAACCTGAGATCTTATTTTGTGCGGTGTGGGTGGAGAAGCGCATTGGGGAGGACACTAATCTTAACCCAGGAAGAGGAAATGCAACCTGAAAACCTTATGTTTTGACAGGGCAGGACCAGGCCCATAGCCTTGGCTGGCAGCTGGTCTAGGAGGGAAGCACCGATAGGCAAACAGATAGAGCACTGCTCTCCTGATCTGGCAGCTTCTGCAGCCTGCTTTGTTCCAAACATACTGGTGTTACCTTTCCTTTGGAGTAAACAAGGCAGGTCGAGAGAGATCATGATACATGGACAACATATGGTTTCTACAATACTACTTAGGCTTTGTGCTATGGAGAGGATAAACTTCATCCCTGGCCATAACGCGGGCAAGTCTTGCTAGTCACATTCGTCATCGCCATGGGCTGTGAGTCCCATGCCTCCTCATAGCGCAATATAACCCTATCATCTGAAAAGATGGAAAAGTGCCAATCAATTACTTGGATGTTGCTGATTAAACTCAAAAAGGCAAATCTGAGACAGCCTGCTCAACCTTCCAAGAAGTTATAATTAGGGCACTTTAACTCTTTGAGTCCCAAGGAACCTATCAAATATTCATAGGTTCCCAACTATAAGCCCAATGCAAGATTAGCTGATTTTAGGTCTCTCTTTACCAGGGCCTGTGATGCTAAGCCCACTGGGACTCAAAGAGTTACAGGCTACATCAATATTACTCTGCTGTTGTGTGAGGGTGAGGTAGCAACATGAAATTTAATTTTTAGAACTTCTGACAATGCTCACTAGTGACATAAAGAACTCTTTTGCATGCCTTCACGCATATTGGGCATATAGGGCTAGACCTATATTTTGAAGACCAGTCGGCACTTGGTGGGTGATGTGGTCAGCATCACGCTGGCAACCTTTATGTCCCATGACTGTACCTGGTACCCATTGAGGGATGTGTCGGCCATGTCCATTTAAAAAACAATTCCTGCTCATTAAGGACTTGAACCCACAACCTCCCGATCTGCAGGTGAGCATCTAGCCGCTACACTGTGGCGGCCCCCAATACTGACATAATTAATTATTTTATTAGTATTATATTAATATTTAAATAAGATTAATCGAACAAACTCTGTGTGTGGTTCCGGGGCCTCACTGTGTGGTGGGGAGGTGGAGAGATTAGATCCCTAACATGTATTTCACAAAGATGAACAAATTATACGTTTGTATTTCAAAGCCCAAGTGCATCTGCCTGCGAGGCAAGGAACAGACAACCTACATATACATAAACCAGATGTGCATGCACAATTTTAGTTTTAGAACAAGATCAAATTTATTATTTGCGCAAAAACGTTGATACTTGATAGCTCCGCTTAGAATTGACATACAGTCATGAATGTGCTACCGTTAGAAAGAGCTTTTTAATATGTATCCAGCTGTACTTGTTTCATAAGTAAAATATGATTGTGAAAATGTGATTAAAGTACTGAAATAACCAGCGCTTACATTCCGCCAGAATTTATACT